CCTGGAGTGGCTGCTCCGTTCGCCTTATGGTAGGGCCGGCTCTGATGTCGATCCCCATGTTTCACCACCCAGCCTCCCCATGGTAAGCCTGGCAGAAAACATAATGGGCTTCCTCTTTGTACCACAAGTTGGAAATAGTTTTTAAAAATTACTAAATTACTAATCTTTACATTTCTTTTATATTATCAAAATCTATCTTAAGAAATCTTATTGTAATTTCTTAAATTATAGACTAATAAAACATTTAATGATTAACTGACATAATTGATTTAGGAAATTTATTGCAGGCAGTTTTATCTGTGTTTATAAACACAGATCTACGAATTAATCTACAAATTAAATTACATTTTTAAAAATTTTTACTTTCACAGCAATTGCATTGTAACACATGAAAATTAATGAAATTTCTATTTTAGTATAGTCAGTTACGCATATACATCATTTTGTATATGCTACATTATTTTTATGTACAAGGTACTCAATAATACAAAAGAAGATTTTCATTATTTTCATAAATTTAAACTTTGAAAGAAATAAACGTGTTTTATAATCTTATTGTTTTGATTAGTTGCTAATTTTACTTCCAAGATATGTCATTGTTCCTGTTACTGGCGTTTTAATTTCGATTTTTAAATTAAACATTTTATTTATCTTAATTATTTTGCAATTTATAGATAAATGTTAAATTCAAGTATAATCGAATCTAGTGACTAGTTCAAAAATGATTCTTTTATACTCTTTCTGCCCTGTGAATACTATGTTTGTTTTGTTAAATTATGGCAATGCCACACTTGGGAAACCTGGCTAGAAAGATGCCTTCTAGAAAGACATTTTAAGAGTATCTGGTCCTATTCAGGCATTACAGACGTGGAGAAAACCTGGAAAATTCCATGTAGTCAGTTTATCCTGGCGAAGCAAGAACCCACGATCAAACTCCCAATGTTCCTCTTGGCCACTGGTTGGATCTATGAGTGCTGAGAAGAACTCTGTTAGCAAGCCTATTATAAGTTCAGCCTGGTCCGCAATGGGGCAGCCGAGTAGAGAGGAGCAGGGTCCGACATATCTGGATGGACCACTCCTAAACAACTCCTGGAAATTTTTTGAATCGTCAGGATTCAATTCAGGTTTATTCAGAGTGGTAGGCTGCCACCTTGACCGCTTGGCCATTTACAAATGATTAGAATTATAAAGGCTATGCAACAAACGGGCACTTTCTCAAATGCTACCTCCAAGAAAGAGTCTTCATTTTGGAAAGTTCTTCCAGCTTATATTTACATGTAAAATACAAGTAAAATTGAATTTAGTTACAAATGATTGAATTGATGAACTAAGTTTTGCCAAGTTGTTATATCCAACACAGACTTTTCAAAATATAAAGTCATCCTGCGTTATATTTAGATGTTAGAGGCACGAAGATGATCCAATAAACTCTATGTAACCATTTTGTAAGACAAAAACCCACCAATTGCATTACAACCGAATAAAATCACTGGAATACAGGGAACCTTTATGATTTTATACACTCGGCCACATATGGACTTTTTACAGCGTATAAGCTTTTGCAGAAAAATTTATATTTCTTTATTTTATATAAGAATCTACTTTTAAAGGGAATTGAAAATTTTTAAGAGTTTATATGTTTCCTTTTTAAAGTCATACTGAAATATTCGTAGAGATTTTATTTTGTAAGATTTTAAATTGAATCCATCAAATTAAAAATTAAACTTTTGAACACAACGGAAATATTTATTCATTAGTAATTTTCGTAATTTGCTTCTAAAACAAAAAAGTTATACAACAGAATGCCCAAAGCAATATAGTGATTAAAACAACACTACTTCCTATGTTATATAAGACACATTTGGAGTAGGATGCATCTTTATCGGAGTATATTTTAGTTCTTAGTACAAATAGCATTCTGACATAGTGGATTGTATTATTATAATGAAATAGCTAACATATTAAACAAATAAGTATGTATACTCATACACAATTAAGGATAATTAGTTTTCGATATCCATTACATGAAATATGCCATTAATAATATAATGCACTTTGAAAATACTTACTTAAATGGAATATATGCATGTTACATAAATTGACTTTGAGTGGAATAGAAGGCTGTGATAGGCAACGCAACAACTCATTGAAATCTACCAACAGGGAAATGTATTTCTGGTGATGACAGTGGATGTAATTGTTCCCTATTTAGGTGTTATATAAGTGAAAAAGTTCGGTAATATTCACGTGGTCAGAACTGGCTCAGGCTGGAACCCATGAGCAACCATGAGAATCTCTTAGGTTTCAATGATTTTACCCGCTTGGCCAATGTTAGACAGGTTAAGTTTAACTTATATATTCAAAATTTCTAATACCAGAAAAAATTTTATTTCGAGGAACAATCTAACGTATTAAAATTGAGTTTGGACGAAATTTAAAATTTTATTTAGAAGAAGGTTTAATTTAAAAGAATTCATAGGGTGTAAAGTAAATACTTTTTGCTAGCTTCCAAGCTCGCCGAGCTGACATCTAGCTCAGCCTGACGTCATACTAGCACGCTCGTAAAAGTATACACAGTGATGTATGCCGCCATCTTTGAACAAACTCCAAGCTCGTTGTAAATTCTCCGAGCACGCCGAGCGCGCTAGGAATGCTAACAATGACGTCACGGGTGCGAAAAGTAAATGCCATGCTCATTGGTAGCTAACAAAAAGTATACAGGCTGAGCGCGCTAGGGGCGAGATCGGAGCTAAAAGTATACGCACCCATACAGTATTACCATTTAGTCAGGATGCATGGTTAAAAAATTATATCTTATTCAATAATCAAAAACAACAAGAAGCAACTAATGATTTTGATAAATCTTTTTTTAAACTTATGAATAATAGTAATTTTGGAAAAACGTGTCAAAACATTTAAATTTGGTCGCTGCTACTACTAAAAATCAATGTGATAAATATTTATCCCAACTATCATTAGAAAATTTTCAAATTATTAATAATAATCTTATTATTTTTAAAATGAAAAAAAACTAATGTGTGTTTGAATAATTTGATTTACATCGGTTTTACAGTTTTAGAATTAAGAAAATTACATACATATGAAACACACTATAGAATATTTTTTAAAAATATGGTAATAATGTTAATTTATTTTATACTGATACAGATTTTTAACAATGGAAATTTGTACTATTGTAATATTTATAATGATTTTAAATCATTTTCAGATATCTTTGATTTTAGTAATTATCCAAAAACTCATAAATTACATAATGAAACTAACAAAAATAAATTAGAATATTTTAAAGATGAAACTTTATCGAAACCAATAAAAGAATTTTGTTCATTAAAACAAAAAATGTACTCTTAAATTTTTGAGGAAGGAAATAAGAGAACTGCAAAAGGAGTTTAAAATTTTTCACAATAGATTTCTTATCATGAAGAATATAAAGCAGTTTTATTTAATAAAAAACTTTTAAGACATCAACAACATGGAATTATGAATAAAAATCATATGGTAACAACTTATATTCAAAATAAAGTTTCTCTCTCTCCATTTTATGACAAAAAAATTTATTTTAGATAATGGTATAGATGTAAAATCCTTTGGACACTATTGTGTTTATTTTTAAAAAAATGATAAAACTTACATATTAGAAATAAATTAATTATTATTATTATTTTATTATAAAAATTGTATATTTTAAATATCTTTCTGAAAAAGCAAAATTACCTAAAAAGTATGGCGTGGGATATGATTTATTTAGTACAGAGAATTATATTATTAAAAATAAAAAACAAAAATTAAATATTTATCGATTTAGCTATACAAATTTCCAAAAATTGTTATGGAAAAATAGTGGAAAAATCATCATTGTTTTTAAAACATAATATATTAATCAATGCAAGTGTTATTGATTCTGATTACAGAGAGAACATTGGAATATTAATAAATAAATTTGGAGATGATGACTTTATAATAAAAGAAAGGGATGTAATAGCTCAAATTATTTTAGAAAAAACCTACCATCCAATGCTATTGGAAAAATGTTTTTTAAAAGCTCTTGAGAAATGTACAAAAAATTTTAGTAGAAATAATATCATAGAAGAAAGTTATGTAAAAAATATAATTGAAATTAGTGATGATGAATGTAAAAAAAATGTCGATGATAATGATGATGAAAAATAATTGTTATTGTAACGATGAAATTCTTTGTTGTGCTAAATGTTTAAAACATCAATATATTTTAACATCTACTCCTCCTGATTTAACATTATAAATTATGTTTATAATTTTTTAGGTTAAAATATATTGTGATCAATTTGTATTCAAATAAAAAAATGTAAACCAATTTTGTAATCAAATATATAATTGTTTTATATTTAATTACAACATATATATATATATATCTGGTTGTTTTTTACTTTTCAGAGTTACAAACACCACTATGCCAATTGATTAAAAAAAATATTCTTTTTTACCAGAATATAAAAACAGTTTTAAAGAATTTGTAAACTGGAGAATAATAAGTTAAAGATCTAGTTTAAGTCAGTAATTTATTCATGACTTTGCTGATAAATTAAATTGGAATTACTGTATATATGGAAAAATTATGAATTTCCAATTTCATTTATTGAAAGAAATATTAAATATGCAGAATGAAATTTTATTTCTAAGTATCAATCATTAAATTATTAATTCATTACTAAATACAGTTATACATATAACGAACACCTTATCCTTGCCGAGAAATATAATTTATTTCAAAACAAACGTTGTCAGCTTGATTCACAGGCCATCCTCAGGTTGAGAACCAAATTTGAATTAAAGGATTCCATTAATGGAATACAAAATTAAAAAATTAAAAATTAAGTAAGCAATGGAATAAGATAACATAAACAATTAAAATTTAAAATATTAAATAACCAATGGAGTAACATAAAATAAAAATATAAAAATGTAAAACATGTACATAGAAGTATTAAGAAATACAATTACTAATACATCCAATAAAATTGAGAGGATGCAGAGGAAAGACTTTCTGCATCCCTTGCATTTAAACAGCCTTCCTGTATTTTACTCCTATAAATCTGCAACTTTTCAGCTATCAACGCCAAAGATGGGGAAGATAAAGGTTCTATCATGGCTGCCTCATTCCATTTGACTACAGATCCTGGTGCTTGCGCCATTTGGGACAAAACTGTTGCATTAGACTCCTTATTATAACTATGTTCCTTGAGTCTAAGTCCCAAACTCCTGGTGGTTACTCCAATATAGTCTTTTTTAACGCCAAATTGCATATTCTCATAAGGAATTCTATAAACCCCTGCTTTCTCCTCTGACATTATAGCATCCTTATCATTTCTGAGGATTTTGTATAAATTAGGGGCCCTTTTTATAAGCATTCTCGAACCTTTTCTGTGAGCAATCTCTTTCATAACGCTATTCATACTTTCATTATATGTAAATTTTACGATTTCAGTGGGAGCATTTTTAAAAGACCCTTTCTTGATGTTCACTTCATACTTCCTAACTATTCCTAGAATTGCGCTTTTTCGGTAACCTAGGGTCATGGCCACGCTCATTATTCTATTTATTTCTTTACTCCTGTCTTGTATTGTTTCACAATACAAAATCTTACTTCTTATTAAAGCTCTGAAAGCTGCAATTTTATATTTATATGGATCCTTAGATTGGGAGAAAATATACAATAGGATGTGGAATGGTTTAATAAAAACGCTAGAGGACAGATGGTCTTTTTTGAATTTAATACCGATGTCTACAAAATGCAGATCCAAGAAACTTTTCTGCTCCAATCTTAAAGTAAGGCCATCATTGTTACCATTGATCTTATCCAAAAAATCCTTAATCCTGCTGTTATTTCTCCATAATATAAGTAGGTCATCAACGTAGCTGCTAAAATAAATAAGATCCCCCTTAGAACCATGAAAAATTCTTCTTTCCAGTCTTCTAACAACTAATAAGCATAGGATTCCTGAGAGCGGACTTCCCATAGGGACCCCTCTTCTCTGTCTGTAGATCTGCCCAATAAAAGCGAAACAAGATTCACGGCACACCAATCTAGCCATACTCTCTACTTCTTCTGTATAACTAAGCAACTCCGAGTTCTTGCCATATAAAAAATCCAAAAGTGCCTCCTCGCATGATTCTATCTTTACTGAAGGATACATGTTCTCAGTCGAAAACAGTTGCAACTTCATTTTCCATTAATGTAATATTTTGCAGATCTTTGACCACTTTCATAGGATCACGCGCAACTAGAGTATCCGGGTCCAGTTGGGAGGATAAATACTCATGCAACTTCTTTTCTAATACAAACATGGGACCCTTGCATTTCTCTATACCGGTCTTATTTCTTTACCGGTTTTATGTACCTTAGCGGAAGCAAACAACCTAGGTGTTCCAGGTATAGGGTTCCTGCATTTTTTGAGAAAAGGCAAAGCTCTGGAAAATTTAGAGACCTCTAGTTTCCTGACTCTTCTATCCAAACTTCCAATAATCTTGCTGTTGACACTTTCACACTCTGTCTTTTCGATGTAATCCATTAGTGCTTTGTTATAAGTATGCCTTTTCATAATGACCAGTTGTTTACTTTTATCAGCCCTAGTCAACACCAAATCATTGTGCTTTAACCAATTCTTAGTGAGTTGGATATCACTGCTTCTAATACCTTGTGTTCGGTTTCTCTGTCTGTTGTTAATTAATTAAAGACTGCTTTCCATCTGAAGGACTCTTTTTCTAGATTATCTAGCCCAACAATGCCCCTTTCAATTTCCTGTACAGAAGTTTTCCAATTCATAGCATCCGCTGGAACAAAATTTGGGCCTTCTTCTAGAAGCTCCTTGATCCTTGCCGGTATTTCTATTTGGTCCCATATGTAAAAAGCAATAAACTTTTTCTTGTAATCAATTTCTCAATAATCAATTTCTTCAATAAATTTCTTTCTTCAATAATTACTAATAGAATTCTTATGGACTGCTTCAGCTAGAATCTAGCTGAAGCAGAATCTAGCTGAAGCAGATTCTAGCTGAATCATTGAATTCTTCGCAAAATCATTGAATTCTTCACATAATTACTAATAGAATTCTTATGGACTGCTTCAGCTAGAATCTAGCTGAAGCAGTCCATAAGAATTCTATTAGTAATTATGTGAAGAAATTGAAATGGATTATGCATAAACAAGAGATTAGAAATACCAAGAAAAACCTTATTGCTTTCCACATATGGGACCAAATAGAAATACCGGCAAGGATCAAGGAGCTTCTAGAAAAAGGCCCAAATTTTGTTCCAGCGGATGCTATGAATTGGAAAACTTCTGTACAGGAAATTGAAAGGGGCATTGTTGGGCTAGATAATTTAGAAAAGGAGTACTTCAGATGGAAGTAACAAAGAGCCACATAGCACGAGGTCTAACACACAATGCCAGTAGACAAAGGAAATCTTCCATGTGCAGTCGACCAGGCTCAATGATATCTATCGGTGGTGAGGCCACATGTCTAACTGACACTCACATGTGAAACTATTGATTGGAAAAAAATATTGTAATACCAAAATCTATCAAATACATTCCTTAAAAATAATATACAAAAATTAGTTATTAAATTAGTCCCAAAACTTCAACATTTAACTACAGATAATTTAACTGACTTACGAGATTTATTGGATTGAGAATTAGTTACAAGATATCAATTACTTTTCTGAAGATTTCATAGAAAAATTTCATAATCATCTTTCTTGGTGTTACATTTTAAAATATCAGCAACTCAGTCATTTCTATATAATTAACAACACTATTCCTCCACGTTCTCGCTAAGTCTTAGAAAATATTGCCCAAAAATAACTCTTGATTTGTTAATCAAATATATTGTATCTAACATTATTCCAAAAAACAAACCAAAAATTGTGTAATTTATCTTGTATCGTACATTATATTTTGCCATAGAATTTGTAATCTAAAGTGTATCAAACCTATACTACTACCATCAGATTATGTTGGTCAGTGCTGGCCCGAGGAAAGTTTTAGGATGGAGCGAGATTCTATTATGGCGCCCGGGGGTGGAACCCCGCCCACGCACTCGACCCACGCGCGTCTCAACAGATAAGGCCATTCACATACTGGCCATACGCTTGCAATTAAAATATCGAAAAGTGAAAAAAATATTTTTTTCTTTACTTTTTTTACCACAGGCGTCCCCTAGGTTTTAGCGCCTGGAGTGGCTGCTCCGTTCGCCTTATGGTAGGGCCGGCTCTGATGTCGATCCCCATGTTTCACCACCCAGCCTCCCCATGGTAAGCCTGGCAGAAAACATAATGGGCTTCCTCTTTGTACCACAAGTTGGAAATAGTTTTTAAAAATTACTAAATTACTAATCTTTACATTTCTTTTATATTATCAAAATCTATCTTAAGAAATCTTATTGTAATTTCTTAAATTATAGACTAATAAAACATTTAATGATTAACTGACATAATTGATTTAGGAAATTTATTGCAGGCAGTTTTATCTGTGTTTATAAACACAGATCTACGAATTAATCTACAAATTAAATTACATTTTTAAAAATTTTTACTTTCACAGCAATTGCATTGTAACACATGAAAATTAATGAAATTTCTATTTTAGTATAGTCAGTTACGCATATACATCATTTTGTATATGCTACATTATTTTTATGTACAAGGTACTCAATAATACAAAAGAAGATTTTCATTATTTTCATAAATTTAAACTTTGAAAGAAATAAACGTGTTTTATAATCTTATTGTTTTGATTAGTTGCTAATTTTACTTCCAAGATATGTCATTGTTCCTGTTACTGGCGTTTTAATTTCGATTTTTAAATTAAACATTTTATTTATCTTAATTATTTTGCAATTTATAGATAAATGTTAAATTCAAGTATAATCGAATCTAGTGACTAGTTCAAAAATGATTCTTTTATACTCTTTCTGCCCTGTGAATACTATGTTTGTTTTGTTAAATTATGGCAATGCCACACTTGGGAAACCTGGCTAGAAAGATGCCTTCTAGAAAGACATTTTAAGAGTATCTGGTCCTATTCAGGCATTACAGACGTGGAGAAAACCTGGAAAATTCCATGTAGTCAGTTTATCCTGGCGAAGCAAGAACCCACGATCAAACTCCCAATGTTCCTCTTGGCCACTGGTTGGATCTATGAGTGCTGAGAAGAACTCTGTTAGCAAGCCTATTATAAGTTCAGCCTGGTCCGCAATGGGGCAGCCGAGTAGAGAGGAGCAGGGTCCGACATATCTGGATGGACCACTCCTAAACAACTCCTGGAAATTTTTTGAATCGTCAGGATTCAATTCAGGTTTATTCAGAGTGGTAGGCTGCCACCTTGACCGCTTGGCCATTTACAAATGATTAGAATTATAAAGGCTATGCAACAAACGGGCACTTTCTCAAATGCTACCTCCAAGAAAGAGTCTTCATTTTGGAAAGTTCTTCCAGCTTATATTTACATGTAAAATACAAGTAAAATTGAATTTAGTTACAAATGATTGAATTGATGAACTAAGTTTTGCCAAGTTGTTATATCCAACACAGACTTTTCAAAATATAAAGTCATCCTGCGTTATATTTAGATGTTAGAGGCACGAAGATGATCCAATAAACTCTATGTAACCATTTTGTAAGACAAAAACCCACCAATTGCATTACAACCGAATAAAATCACTGGAATACAGGGAACCTTTATGATTTTATACACTCGGCCACATATGGACTTTTTACAGCGTATAAGCTTTTGCAGAAAAATTTATATTTCTTTATTTTATATAAGAATCTACTTTTAAAGGGAATTGAAAATTTTTAAGAGTTTATATGTTTCCTTTTTAAAGTCATACTGAAATATTCGTAGAGATTTTATTTTGTAAGATTTTAAATTGAATCCATCAAATTAAAAATTAAACTTTTGAACACAACGGAAATATTTATTCATTAGTAATTTTCGTAATTTGCTTCTAAAACAAAAAAGTTATACAACAGAATGCCCAAAGCAATATAGTGATTAAAACAACACTACTTCCTATGTTATATAAGACACATTTGGAGTAGGATGCATCTTTATCGGAGTATATTTTAGTTCTTAGTACAAATAGCATTCTGACATAGTGGATTGTATTATTATAATGAAATAGCTAACATATTAAACAAATAAGTATGTATACTCATACACAATTAAGGATAATTAGTTTTCGATATCCATTACATGAAATATGCCATTAATAATATAATGCACTTTGAAAATACTTACTTAAATGGAATATATGCATGTTACATAAATTGACTTTGAGTGGAATAGAAGGCTGTGATAGGCAACGCAACAACTCATTGAAATCTACCAACAGGGAAATGTATTTCTGGTGATGACAGTGGATGTAATTGTTCCCTATTTAGGTGTTATATAAATGAAAAAGTTCGGTAATATTCACGTGGTCAGAACTGGCTCAGGCTGGAACCCATGAGCAACCATGAGAATCTCTTAGGTTTCAATGATTTTACCCGCTTGGCCAATGTTAGACAGGTTAAGTTTAACTTATATATTCAAAATTTCTAATACCAGAAAAAATTTTATTTCGAGGAACAATCTAACGTATTAAAATTGAGTTTGGATTTACGTTCCTGGATTGAAACGTATTTAAGCATTTAAAAATACTGTATGTTATGTATTTTTCGACGTTTACAATTTCATAATTTTTTAATGCTTCGAATTAATTTTCATAAAATGTATTCTTATTTAAAGCAGGATTTCGTTTTCTTTCTCACAGGTAGGGAAGGTCAACAACATTTTAATCATAGGCTATACTGAAATTTGTTCACATTTCTATCTCGAAATCAATTTTTAAGCATCATCTTCACATAAATATACAGAGTTTAGTAATTAGATTGATATAAAACCAAATTATAAGAATATTATTACAATTAAATGAGCAAATTTAGAAAGTAACAGATTATCGTTCTTTACCTGAGATGTGAAATAAGTTAAATATTTCACTAAATTACTGCCGAACCTTCAATAACGGCCTTTTCTTAGTTATTTTTTCAAAGTTTCGTATGCCTTTTTTGTACTAATAATCACCTATAATGAACGGCCACCTTCGAACAATGGACAATTTTTAAGACTTCGTCAGAAACCGATGTTCAAGGG